TTACAATCGTATTTATATTTTTCATTCAGCCTTATCTGAACCTCAACCAAGATTCAATATTTGCAGTGCGTTTAAGTTCAATCATTACCTTACTGCTTGCTGTGGTTGTGAATGATGAAATCTGATCTATAAAACATAAACGGATATGTGTTTTTTTCTATGTTGTCTATTTATTATCTTTTTAGGCAATGAAGAAGATCAACAAAGCCTGTTTGAAGTATACAGAGTGGAAGCAGAGACACAACCCTGGCTTCAAGCCCTGGCTCTACCCTGAACAGACTACATTACCCAGCATCCCTCTGTCTGAGCTCAGCATCCAGCACGCTGAGAGCCTGGAGAATATTGATGAGAGCTCCCTGGCTGAGACCCAGGACAGAGAAGACAGCGACTAACACACCCTCACACACACACACACACACACACACACACACACACACACACACACACACAGTCATGGATTCATACACACACACACAGTAATGCAGGGTTACATGCATGCCTGATACACATCCATGATTCAACTGATATATATGTGTTTTTATAGTATGCATGCACATGCAATTGCATATGCAGGCATACTTACTGGCACATGTACTTAAGCATGCATGCACACAGACATACTTCTTCCCATCTCATACTTAAATACATAATGCATCAACACATACATGCAACATAGATACATTCACAGAAACACACCCACCACTCACAAGCAGCAGCGAAAACTACTTCATTTTAAAGTCGGTAAACTCAGATGTATTGTAATCACTAAAGTTGCTGTGTTTTTTCATGCTCCTTGAAGGGATATCATATTTTTCTGATTAGGACCTATATAGATAATCATAGCAAAAATATATTTTCAGTAAGATTTACTGTTGAAAAGTTTACAGACTAACCTGACAGTGGAAATCCAGCTCTTAATCAAAATATAAACAATGGATTTAAAAGTTATACTTCTTCGTCTGGAAGTTATGGATACAATCTATTTAATGGGAAAGCATCTCAGTGCAACCTCATAATGAACTTGTATACATACACATATGGTTGCATGCCATTCATTGATACTTCTTTTATGCACCCAGCTGTGCATACACACGCACATTCTACCCATGTTGTCTCTGTCTCATTATGTGTCTCCATCACATTTTGTAAGCACATAACAAATATGCAGGTGTGCAGAAGGCAGCTGGAACACACAACATACACACACAAACACATATTCAGATGTTACACACGTACTGTCCACTACTCTAATTGAGAGATGTATGAATGTATTGAGAGTTTAAACAAAATAAATAGAGATTCCTACAAAGGGTTTGAAGTTTCAATGGTGATCCGAGTCTTTTTTTCCTCTATATGCTAGGCTTTATGTCTGATGATGCAGGTTTAAATGCTTGTGCTAAAATAAGTATTGGCTGATTGAATTGTCAACACTTTCTTTCTGTAACACACACACACACACACACCCCTATACACAAAACCATTGATTTGAAACGTGCCCTGCCATGATTAGAACAGGGAAACACCATGACATACGCCCTATTGATTAACCGTTATTCCCTAATGGAAAAGTGTGTTTGTTTGCTTGCCTGCACTTGCATGTGTATAGCGTAGCATGCTTGTGCTCATTGGCCTAGTTCAGAATAAGGAATCCCCCAATCTGTTGTCATGGCAACTCTGAGATCAACTCGGCACTGTAAAGGAGAGAAATGTGTCTGTCACAGAGGAAGTGACTTATTGCAGGGTGTCCACCCCTTCTTTAATGTAGAATGAAAATAAGAGCATGCATATTGTTAATGCACCACATGTACGCCAGCTGTTTCCCTGTGGTTTGTCAATTTGGTGACATGAAAGCTTGTCTTTCCTCACACAAACTCCCATGCCTTCATTGTATGGTTTAAGAACATTAAGCATATTGGACGAACATTAGAAAAATAAATATTTGAAGGTCCATGTCTGCCTGTGAGTGCCTCAGAAACAGGAACGTAGCAATGCATGTTAACGTCATGCCTTAAAATACATTTTTCGCATGTCATCTTCTCTGACAGTTCCCTTTTTGACATCCACCTCTGCATATGCACCACCTAATAAATTATGAATGATGGTGGAAAGAATGTGTGAGTGTTGCAGAAAGGCAGGAGGTGCATGCAGCTCTGGTGTTTTTTCCTACAGCTGCATCGACTATTTTCCAGCTCTGCCCATGTTTAAAACCATCCATCCGTCCTCAGAGTGCTAATGAGGCCTCTCCCTGAACCATCCTCATTTTGTGCATGTGTGTGTCAGAGGAAAAGAGTGTGTAAACGGTATGTCCCAGTGGCATCCCTGCATTGTCTCCCAGCCGCCTCCACAGCAGGAGGAGACGTATGCGCAGCACGAAGGCAGGCATCCCTCTGTGTGTGTTTCTGCATATGTGTCACACTGCCACCCCCACAGAAACCCGGCCCACCAGGACTGAAAGTCTGCCGATGACTCATCACAACCCCACCTCCTCTTCTCCGTTCCAGCTCCCTCCACTTCTTAGATTCTCGCCCCTGCCCTGATCCTCAATTTCCCCACGCCTCTTTTTATTTTCCTCTTCCTGTCTCTTCATCCTCTTGTCAATCCTTTCATCTACTCCTCATCCAGGGCTCTCTTCTCCTTTGATCCTCTCTTCTACAGTTCTTTCCTATCCTCATGTCACCCCCATATTTTCTGTTCTGATCCCTCTCGTTTCTCTCTCCTTTACACACTCTAATCTTACCGACACAGTTCCCTAATATTTCCCCGAGGTCAGAAATAAAATGAATAGCACTGCCAAGTTGTCAGTGTCAGTGTGTTGTTCATCCAGCCTCCACAATGCTTGAATATTACCCTTGTATTAGTGTTGTGACCTTTTTATTCACGGTGCACTAAACTTAACGAATGATATCAAAAAGAATCACATAATGTGACACAAACAGAAACACAAAGGTAAAATACTAGGCATGTTTCCCCTTCAACTCTCCAAAAACATGTTAGACAGTGACAAATGTGGCCTTTTAAATTCATGTAAACTCAGGGGTAGGATATGTTTAATTCATATTGTATGGTTGGATCCTGTTAGACTCAGATGGGACTGTTACAGGTCAACATTTAGTGTAGTTTATGTCTTTTATTACATGCCAGCCTCTCTCGCTCTCAGTTGCTTTCATCTTGCTGACTCTCTTGGTGCTGAAATGCAATCAAAAGAACTCTCTTCAATAATGTAACAATTATTAACATGCAGTATTCTCTTTCTACTATAAAGGCTGGTCGTCCTTTATTATGATGTGCTTTATTTAAATGTGTAACATGATGCCTTTTGAAATTCTCTCTCCATCTATAAGGCTCTAAATCTCAGTGGTGAGTGGTTGCCCTCTTCTGGTTCCAACTGGAGCTTACAACTGCAGCCGGTCGGAAGCGTGTCTGATTCAATACTTGATATGAATGCCACATCACTGCAACCTCTGTACAAACATCTGTTTAGAGTTAAATCTACTCTTGGACACAGTGCTGTAGATTAAACCAGTTCATATCATCTTCATTGCTGGACAGGATTGGATTATTATATATATTTACACAGTCAAAGACACATTTCTTTTTAAATGTGTGCACATGTAAACATGTGTCTTTGACTGTGTATATATATACATATATTTGCACACATTTTTATATTTTATAGACATTTGTTTTTATATTCAGGATTGTGGGAAACAGTATTTTGATCTCTCTGTCTGTACACACAAACTGGATGATTGACAATAAAGTTGACTTTGATTGTATGCAATTAAATAGACATCGCTTATAGTTTTACTGTTTGTTGTTGTTGTTCTAAGTGGTGGTGGGGTTATTTTAATTATTTTTTCAAATAAAAGTATGTAAATCTGTAGCTGCTTAAACAAAAACAATTAAATTCACTATATTTTAGGAAATATGTTAACATTTAAACACTATTTCTCAAAGAGGAAAATTAAGAAGACATCCACATCCTGTGGGTCATGTTTATACTGTGTGTGTTTTGTAATTTATTGTGTGTATACAATAGAAAGTTAATCATTTCATTATTATTTTATCTGATAATACTTCGATATTTAGCTATACAGGGATTTATACCATTTATTGGGCGAGTTATATTTATTAGTTATGTTTTAGTTTAGGATATTACGGCCATTTCTAACCTTTACAACTCGTATGCACATTTAAAAAAATGTATGGTAAGTCATCACTTTGGAAGAGGTGACAAACAAAAGCAAGTGTTTACTGACCGAAATGTGTAGGGTGAAACATTAGCCTATTACACCTACCCCTTTGTATTGTTTATTTTGTACACTTCTCATTTAATGTATACACTGATTGTATTACCCCAAATAATTTTTGGGGTAATACAAATTATCTTGGGTAATTTGTATTACCCAAAAATAAATACAGTATACATATGAGACATACTGTAAGTGTACAATGTTTTCTATTTCCTTTTCCAAACTTCTTCACAAATAACTCCTTTTACTGTTCCCATCCCTTTTGCATGTTCTAATCCTTGTTTTTTTCAACATACACATTCCTCTTACTGTAGATGACTGACTCACTTTAATTTGGAACAACAAGCTTGTCATTTTTTTGTTACTTGAAACATTTATTTTGCAGATAAAAGGTCTCCAAATCTCTACATTTGCAAGCATGTGAGTTTATAAATGATATGTTTGTTAAGGTGAAGTAAAGTGATTAATAAATAATATCTAGTTATTAAAGGGCATTTACATGAAAACAGAGTGGGCAGTCCATTCTGTTCTGATGGTCACATGACGGCCATAAGGAAGTTTTGCAATTTTGCTGCATCCAAATAACCACAGAAACCCCGGAAAAACACTATTCCTATCCTTCAAAATAAAACGCCACATGATAGAACGTTGAGGTGTGCATTTATTTTTGAAATATAAAACCGGAAACAGTTTTCACCTTTTAGTTTAGCTTGACACTTGCTGTCTGTGTAAATTGTTGCTGCCACTGCTGCTTTTTTATCCGCGAGAAAAATCTTATCCGCTGTTTTGCGTCGCAGTTGTGTCCGCTAATTTCCCCTCAAAAAAACAAAACGCCTGTGTATTTCAGGACAGTTGAACACTTGCAAAGACTTGACAAGGTAAGTGAATGACAAGAATTCACAACTTTTATGAAAAAGAGAAACTTTCCCACAACTGCTGATAAAAATAGACGCTAATTTAACAGCATAACCCTCACATAGGCTACACCAGAAATGTGATGTGACACTGACCAAGTATTCAACTTTGTGTGAGTCTACCGTCATCGGCTTTGAACAATGTAACACTTAATCGAGTAATGATTCGCGAGCATGCTTTGGTTAACTTGTTAGATGTTGTTTTTCTCAGCTGCTCTCTTCTTTTTGTGGGAAAAGTGGAGAGGAAATAGCACACTGCCTACACTGGGCTGTTTATCCCCAGTGGAATTCATTATTTATAAACTGGGAGCATGGATACATTACTAAATCTCGTGTTTTAACATAAAGATGGAGTAATTTGATTTAATCGTATGCCTTCCCCACATTGTGATTTGTGAATCTATTAGCAGGTGGAATTGTGACAGGTGGGGTTAGGGTTATCTGGTATTTTACATTATTTTTCAGGTAGGAACTTTTAACAGTGTAGATTCAACAGATTACCGAAACCCTATCTCAAGTTTGTTTTTCAAAACACTTATTTCTGCTTTTTTTGCAATCTAAGGCAGGGCTCCTGTATGTGGAGTTTATTCAAGATGATAAGATCAATAGTGAATCTGTTTGAATATGCTTTTTAATAAGTGGAAACTGTGAGTTTTTCCTTTTCAGTGATATGTTAATGCAGTTGTAGAGGAAGACATTTTGCATGTGGGCTAAATACCTTAGAATAGAGTAGGTTATGCATGACTGGTTTGCTCAGTAGACCCTTTAAATTGGTTTATACAATAATTAGTGCACAGTTCAGAGTCCTCACAGAGCTTCGCGACCAGGATAATAATTATCTACCGTGGTTAAACAGAAGTTATTCTGCTGTCCCACAGGCACACCATTTTGCAGTGAAGTTAATGAAACTGAATTAGAGAAATTAAGCATGGCATGGGACGTGCTGGGGCTGTTTTGCATTTGAGAACTGATCAAATAACCTGTGTATCATTTTAAAAGCTACCAATTCATTGTAAAAAAGGGCAACACAAAACATGGCCTACATATTAGAAGTATCAAACTGCATAATGGTCCTTCAAACCCTTTTACTGTCCTGTACTGGAAACTGCTGATGAGTAAGTCTGTGCCTGACTGTTTTTATATTTTAAGAGCACGCTGAGAGACACATAATGCAGTGTGACAGGATGTTGTTTATCAAGCAACAGATATAAGTCCCCATACAATGCGATTTTTGTGTCTGCCAGCATAAGAGGCCCAGTATGCCAGTAAGTCAAGCCTATCCAAATTCACCATTTTAGATAGATTGCATTTCCACTGAGGATGAACACTGACATATTTATCACATCAAGTATGACATCAAGTTGGTTCTGAAAGTAGTAGTCCTTCATTCCTCATCTCCCTCTTTAAAAAAAACAACAAATATTCTCCCTCTTCCATCTGTCTGATACGCTCACAGATGATTACTCGTTGCTGAATCACTCCATAATGGGGTGAGTGGAGGATAATCTTATAGGTTCAGAGGACGCGTTGAGCAGTCTGGCTGTAACATTTCACAGGCTTGATGAAAAGCCCAGGTGTGCATTGTGCAAGGAGTGATAAGCGGAGGCCGGGACTATAAATGATATGAAATACTTATATTTATGCTTCAAGACTGTTATAGTTACAGGGGAAGAGACCACTTCATTCTGTGATGAGTTTGTACATCTGGTGAAGATAAGAGTAGCTTGACGTTACAAAGAAAGTGTTTTTTTTTTCTCCCGAAAGTGGAACATTTAAAGAGTTCTTAATCCAACTGTGGTGTGATTTTAAATACATTGTGAGTGCATGCATATGTGTCTTATACATTATAAGACTTACACTCTTCCACACAGTTTGGGACAGTGATTAGCTTAAACTAATGCTGTCTAATACAAAAGTCCTGCAATAAATCCCACATGCAAAGTGTGTGGTGCTGAATAGAGAGACTAAATTGTAGACTTTATATTCAAATGACCTCTTTGTGTATCTCAGTGAAATTCATACATTTCTTGGAACACTTATTTTTGCTCTAATCGTTGTTTTTGTTGGGCATTGTTTTTTTAAATCTGTCATTAATTATATGTATGAGACATTTCCAATATCTGGGATTTAAGAGTTTGTTCAAATCTATGCAGAAAGTCAAAAACGTTGGGTAAAGTAAAATGTAAATTGACTTTAAATGAAACTGCAATGAGTTTACGTCAGGCAATTTGTAATTGCAGTAATATTAGCTCACATTAATTTACATGAACAATAGGAGGAAAAATCAAGACCCCCAGAACAGTACACTCACTAAGTCACTATATTGTTTTTTGCCATAGTGGGTGGTGACTGAACTAAAGGACTCATATGCTCAATGTGGTTGGTAGTTACAGGTGGGTTACCATGGGAAACATTCTTCTGTGAAATGTTGCACCCTGAAGAGTCAGAGTCAAGTGTCACAGGCCTGCTCGCTAGAGAACATTGTTCAGGATGAATTTCTTTCCTGGCAGAGCTGAGTCACTATTCACTATTAATTGAAAGTGGGCTGAAAAGAGCAGTGTGTCTGATGGTGGGTATATGAGTCATGTCCCCTTTGTGTGCTTAGTTAGTTATCCATATAAGGTCAGTACCTTGATAGAAAGCTGAGGTTCTGAGGGAAACTTGTATTATGTGGCTACCCAACTTCTTTTCCCTGGTAGGTTAACAGTTAAGTAAATTAAAATGAGCCCAAATGCTAATTACAGAAATCCGGCATTAACAGCAACAGCAGTGCAACATCAAAAACATTTAAACACAGAATTTCGTACTTTTCAGCTATTCAACAGGATGCTCCAAATTGATGCTTATTTGCTCCATGTCTGCTGGATGTCCAACTGGTAGAGCCCGATTGATACTGGACTTTTGATACAGTTAAGATACAATATGATATACAGTTAAGACCCATTGTGTAATGTCTAAACACATTGTGACATAGTTTGACATTTTAGTACTGACATTTTTTGTCACTTATTGTCAATCATATACTGATGACTTTAAGCCAAGAAATGCTGTTTTGACAGCCTGGGCCTCTGTTGGTCTAGATGTAGTCTATGGACAATTGACCAAAGAGCAAATTAACCACCAGAACTGTTTTTTGCTGTATATTCTGAATGTTGGGTAGAAATGATAATCTGTGTGAATGTTTTGCCACCTAATTTTACTAAAATGTGAATTTAAAGCAGTTCAAGGCTCTGCAGTATTACTATAACTATCAATGGACAGTCCCTGTGGCATTCAAAGCAACGGTAAACCACATTCAGAGTTTCATACAAGTGTAACCGGTGTCGTTAAGCGGTCTGTGCGTTGTGTTTTGCGTTGTTCATGGATGACCCGAGCCAGCATACAGTTTTGACGATCTCCGTTTTATTACTGACAATCTGACAACAGATATAACAATCAGTATATTACTGTAGCTTTCCCTCACAGTGACTCCTCTCACGTGGAACATTTACAGAAAGCCCGAAAATGTACCTGACAACAGATATAACAATCAGTATATTAGCTTTCCCTCACAGTGACTCCTCTCACGTGGAACATTTACAGAAAGGGCGAAAAACGTACCTGACAACAGATATAACAATCAGTATATTAGCTTTCCCTCACAGTGACTCCTCTCACGTGGAACATTTACAGAAAGGGAAGAGGAAACATGAGGGACACAATATATAGGGGGGGGAAGTCCTCGCAACAATAATCTACTGAGCACAGCGACCACACTTCAGAGGTTCCGCCCACTGATCTCCGACCTTGTCAGGTATTGAACATTCAATAAAATGAAGAACACAGAATTACTTAATATAAAACACAGAATTTGTGTGATTATACAAAATGATTTACAAATAAACCCCACTGCATATTTACAACTGTTACACAAGGTAAAAGTCAAAAGGAAAGCTTACATTGTTTTTGTGAATCGGCAGGTTTTATTGGAAGTCATACTGTTCCCTTATTTGATTAAATAGTACAAAAATGTATATACAGTGCATCCGGAAAAAATATTCATACCCCTTCACTTTCCCCACATTTTGTTATGCTGGAAACCAGGCCATGAAGTCCAAGGAATTGTCTGTAGATCATTGTCCTGTCTGAGGTGTACTTAAGCCTGCATCATATGACATGATCTTGGTGCCAGTGTTTAAATCACAAAAAAAACCTCTTTATTCATAGTCTGCCTTCTTCTACCTGTGGTACTCTAACACAATGTTAGAAATGTGTCGATATATCAAAACAATCATGTGTAAGACTGTCAGAAAGAAGAAGGTCTTTGTATGTCCTTGTTTTTATAACGGTATTTTATGTGGAAGTCACTGATAACGCAGGTTTTAAATTCTCCACATTTTCTAGTCTGTTGGTATTTATTATACATCATGACTGCAGAATGGTAGAGGAGACAGCTGGACATCATTTTGTGATAAATACAAATTAAAGTGGATTAGCTGTCATCACATCATCATTATTCAGCACCCTTTGCAAATTTAAACAGTGTTCAGAATTAATTAGACTAAATTATCCATAATATTAGCATATTATAATCGACTGAATTCCATGTCATAATTTCTGTCATTGTAATATGTATATGTCTCAGTAGACATGGGTTTTAGTACATAACATGTGCACATCAGTGTGTGTGTATGACATTAGAAAAACTTTTTTGTTACAACATTTCTCTATTGATTGTGAAATTCAACCAAAGTTGGGCACACTCTACTCAGTTTAACTTCCATTTACAACATAAAGTAATTTGCTACAGTCTTTGCATTTATAGATGAATACTTGTGGAGTTATGGAGTGGAAATCTGTTTAATTGGTGTACACACTTTTTGTGCTTCGCGTCCACTTGAATATTTATTTTTATCTGTGACTAATATAAAACCAGCTCACTCCATTACAGCTACCTCAGAAGTAGTATTTTTTTTATTGTCAGC